CGAAACCCCATCGTTCTGGTTGGTTGACATTACTCCATAATAATGTATTGAACTTGTGCGCATATAGAAACCTGATTAGAGAGTCAAAATCGATTAACTTCACAATGATACACGACCCAAACATACTGCCTCTGGAAGAACGGTGTCATTCCCAGTCCCAAGAAAACGCAGTAGAGGCCCAGTGGCGCTGCGAAGGCTATAACCACAGCCTTGACAGCGGGATGAAGATAAGACATAATTTTCCGTTGGTGGATCAAAGAACAAATCAGAGTAAAAGAAAGAAATCTATGACAGATTCTGAAAATGAAACGCTGACTTGGCCGAGGCGAAATAATACGCTCACCTGCTAATTACAAGGCAGAACCCATGAAGGCCTGAGGTCGAACCAGACAGGACGATGCTTCCATTGCCCGCGCTAAACACCAGTGGTCACCACCGGGACTTCTCACGTGGGGAAGACTACGCCTGCATTCAATGTACCTGAGGCGCGTCTGATGCGGCTGTGGCCCCACCTAATCTGCTGGGAAGAAAGAGCCGCGAAATGACTACATCTCACCTTACCTCAGTTGAGGCTAATTGTGATTGTGACTGCTAAAGGAAGATGTAGATGACGAAGCTTGTGCACTATCATCGGCCAATAGGTTCAATAGGAGTGATTTCCCCAGCCGACTGGTTTTTATCGATAAACCTAACTAATAGACGACCCCGACACTCTCACGGCGCTTCCAAATAGGCCCGGGCCTGTAAGGTCCCTGCTGAGCCCCAGCTTCTTTCCTAAACCTAGGCGCTGGAGCACTGAACCTGCCCAATCAGAACCCTGGAATCTACACTCCATGCTCCATCATGAAGGTGCCCGTGTTGGACCTGCACCACTGAGCCTCGGATTGCTGTCCGTAGTAGGTGGCTGTTGCTACTGAATGCTGGGCTGCTACCACTTTCTCTTTGCCAATGGGAGCCTCCATTCCCATCTTCCATCTCCCACCTCCATACTCCATATTCTTTCAACATTCCCTCGTGACCCAACCTTACCTTCGCTTCTTCGACTTCTTATTGCTCGCGAAAACGATCGATTACTCAGCTTTACACGTTCATTTTGCTGCAAGACGCGCCTTGCATGGCCCTCATATAATGATTGGCTCCAGTCTCGCAGTGTAATTCTTTTGCGCTCTCTGTAGTTTGCCTACTGTGCAAGCTAGTTCATGGAGCGAAAGCGCAAACTGCCCGCGCGGGCTGCCGCTCGAGGCGAAAATGCTGCCAAAAAGCGCAATGTTACACCTCGAGAGCGATCTGCGACGCCTGCTGCTCCCCCGCCAGCTCCAGAGCCAGAGCCAGCTCCGGAACCTGAAGAACCTCCCCCGCCGCCTTTGCCCAAATCGATTCAAGCTGGTAAACCTCTCCCAACGGTAGAAGTCGCGCAGCCAGAAGAACTGTCGTCAAAGGAGTATCAGTCAGTTGGTGAAAGGTATGACATGCTGAACTGACCTACGAGATGGAGATACTGACTGACGCGTCCCTCAAGTGGTGTACTTGCCGAATCACTCTTCCGATCTCGTCACAAATGGATCAGCGAAGGCTTATTTGCAAAGTATTGGACGAAACCCCATAAGCGCAAAGGTGTTCTAAATGAAGATCCTAAAAACCCGCCCAAGGATACCATGTCAAAGGTGGGCACCGTAACGATAACGATTGAGCCTCATATAATCGAAGCCACGATGTACGTGGTGAAGGACCCGAAACCAAAAACTCAGCCCGTACCACAGCAGCAACCACAGCACCGTCCTATCCTTCAGTATGGTCCTCCAAATGGTTCAATGCCTCCACCACTTGCGCCTCCAGCACCGGCAGCTGGCACCCCGACACCGAATAGGGCGGTGCCAGCGAAATCTATACCACAAAGTCCATCACAGGGTCCAGCTCAAAGTCCAGATCAATCATCTCAAACGCTTCCTAGGACCTCTCAAGGTCAGATTGCTACTTCAACGACAGCCCCGGTGAACACTGCGACACCATCCCCGAGTCCAAGCTTGCAGCCGAGACCACAAGTTGGAGGGCCTGTAGCACCATCTCCAACACCATCAATCTCACAAGCGTCTCCCAATATTTCCGCACCAGTGGCACATATGTCAGCTTCAGGGCCAACCGTAACACCAGCAGCACCCACTAGGCCGATAGCAACTCCTTCAATGTCTCCAGCACCCCGACCGCCTCCAAATTCTCATCCGCCTGCGGGTGGCCTCGCCAAACCTGCTCCTGCTCCAATCCCTGGCTCAGCTCCAGGTGTCCCTGCTTCAGGTGCTGCCCCTGCTACGAAACCGTCGGCGAACGACCCCGTGATTGCTTTATTGGCACAGAAGGCTTCAGGAGATGCAGAGCTGCGGGACCTCATGAAAAGAGTGGCCGTGGGGCAAGCAAAGGAGGGGGAATTAGCTCACTTTCAGAAGATCATAGATCAACTGAATGCCGAATATCGAAGTAGAGGAGGACAGCAAGGGCCATCGGCAGATCGTCTTCTTGTCGATGGCCGTACAGTGCAATATTTTGCTACGGAAGTCAGGACTATTCTTGATATTGTCTTGGCCTCTAACCCCAACCAGAAGTCGTCCGAGCTGCGACCACCACAAGGCAGTGATCCGCTTGTTGTTCTATTGGTCAAGACTGCCCTAGAGGACCAGAGGACACGGGATATGATTCGAAGGATTGCGGAAAACCGACCCGGTTTTACTGATGCTACAGATCTCAAGGAAATCTTAGATCGGCTTCATCGTGATATGAAGACCGCTCCGAAAGCTTCCCCTACTCCTGTACAAATCCGCCAGCAAACCCCGAATGGCACGCCGAATGGACAACAAAAGGCACCCCATAATGGACCTCCACCTAACTCACAGGCTCTCAGATCAAAGGGGCCACCACCTGTGCCCAAACCAGACATTACTGCTGTTGTTTTTGATTTTGGAAACGGTGACCGATATCTTTTCCCCAAATTCAGTATTTTGGAATTTCTACCAACTGCGACTGGCCAGCAAGTTGTGGCTTCATTTCTTATTGTTCGCAAGGGAAGCACATCTGAATATGGAGGCGACCCAAAGCTAGACTACTACCAACCCGTCACAATACGACTCTTCACACCATCTGGACGCTATCTCGAGAATCTCGCACGAGTGGTCGCTCCCCAAGATGAGGTCAGGCGCTATATGGACGATGTCATGGATCATATGACCCGCGCCGAATATGTTCTCCTGGCAATGAGGCTCCCGAAAGCCAGTTCAGACGGAGAGAAAGACGGCACGGCCTCGGAGGAACCCAGGACAAACGGCTCGACACCAAAACCTGACTCGGTAATAGAGCCGAAGCCCGCCGCGAAGGTTGGCGTTCTTTGGACGTCCAAAGACAATTCTGAGACTCCACCAGTAGATGGACGGCTGTCAAAGCCAGCTCGATATGCTGAGCAGGAGGCTGAAGCTAAGTACCAGCGCTTGATCAATCAAGTTTCTGCAAAGGACAAGGAGGCCTAAGCATGTCTTGAGTTCTCAAAACCTGTTTTACTACGAGTTGCACAAACTGTTTCTAAATTTGGTGCGCTTACAATGGAGTTTGGCATTTTGTTATGGCGAAGTTAGGAGTGTTGACAGGAACATCATTTGTGGGATGGATAGGCGCTACTTGCATATAAGTTACCTAGATTATCTTGACCCAAAGCGGAGAAAGATTTGTCGGCGGAATCTAAATCTCTTGAGACTGTCCGGCGAATTGTCATCATCGGGATTTGTACCTGCTCACTGATTTTCAAGCACCGTCCCGTACCCCTCATGGTCTCTCCGGGGCAATTACCAAGTTTCTGCGTATCATCCATGATGTGTGTGTGGATGACCCTTTGGGCTCTAGAAGCATAATTGAGATTCTAGCTATTCTTTCTCCTAGATAGAACGAGGGGACAGGATTCAAGGCTTGAAGTTAATACAGTTGTAGTGTAGCTTTTTGTGGTGACATGTGGCAATTTAGTTGAGGATGTGTCGCACCTTTTCTGGAGAGTCGTCCGATTCATATTGGTTCGAGGACGGAGGAGTACAACATTCTCTCCGCCAGCTTGAATGTTATCCTACCCAGGTGGGTAGTAACAAAACTCATGAGCCTGCGGAGGGGCATCACCATCATGGGAAATTAGGTTTCGGCATCATCATGAACTGTGATTTCATGGCATGACGATTGTTGTGAATGCAAGTGTCACGAGTTTGACGTTATGGTTACCAGACGCGTATGTTGCCTGTCTTGAGCCTTGTATCCTCTTTTGATTATGTCGATGATGATGATATTCTCTTGAATTACAACATCAAAATCACACAATTGACTTGTGGATGACGCTGAACTTAGAGCTTGATAGTTCCGAGACCGAAAAGGTGCATCCATAGGCATACCTCTGACCTGTTGTCTCAGCCAAGCGTATCAACCAGATAGTTTGGACCTCACCATAGTTATAGGTTTCTCGGTAGAAAGAAAAATGATACTTGTTGTCGTGATTCCCTAGCTAAGCAAACCAGGCATACAATCAACAACCATGCAGTGCCCTTTACTATTTGCCAAACTATGGTTAGGAAAGCTGCGACAGTAGAAGTCATCGATATGGCTTGATGAACTTATACAATGAGGAGACACCGTACGATGTCGAACCCCCTCGGTTGATAGGTTTCGGCGTCCTCAGCCATATGTGTATGAGCGGCAGGAGGCGTCTCTCACTTGTCTCCAGACGAGTCTCAATTTACGCCCAGCCATGCTAATAGCTGTCTATGATGGCAATGATGCTATAGAAAGAGGGGGACAGGAAGTTTACCCAAGGTTGATCACGAGGAATATCTGGCTCCTCTGTAAGTATAAGTAGGATGCTCCTTTCCCCATCATTACCACTTGTTCTTTCTTCTAAGCTTGAAACATAAGTTCGGTTGCGACCCTCTCTATCATCTTTAGTCTACCTTGGCCACATACTATTTGCATAAGAGTCGGTGATCATGAAATTGGCCGACACCATCCTCGTTGCCCTCCAGGCATCGATGGGCTTGGCCTTGGTCCTCCCCAATGATGATATGAAGAAGGCATTGACACAACACAAGCACAATGATGCCGAACCCGACGAGAAGGAGTTTCACGGCTATGAAACAATCACCAAGATCACTTCACACCGATACTTTGGGGTCAAGGACCACAAGCATCATCATGAAGAGAAGAAGCATGACGACGACGACACCGATGATGATGACGATGACGATGGCAGGGAAGAGCATAGTAACCAGCCTCAAAAAGCAAAGGAGAAGCATAAAAATGATGATGATGGTCATAAGGAACATCACTCCCATGACTTCAAGAAGAAGCAACATGATGAAGAAGATGACGACAAGGATGAGGATAAGAATAAGAATAAAAAGGAGAAACCCAAACTCATCTTCCCAACAGAAGAGTTCAAGAAGGCCAAGAAGAAGCACGAGGAGGAATTCCCACGGCTCAAAGATCATGCGCGGGAGACTCCCAAGTCCGACGACAAGTCGAAATCGCTAGAGGATGCCGTGGAGAAAATTAAAAAGGAAACCAAGCAGAAATTACCTTTCGAAAACATTGTGCTGGAGACCCCCAAGCGCTACAACAAGCACAGGAATGGAGAGAAACAGGTCAAGGAAGACAAGAAGGAACAGACCAACTCGAGGGATGGCAAAATGTACAACTTTATTCATCGAAATGGAATGGATGTCAAGCGCGATATCGACATCAACATTCATGCTCCAACCTACAAGATTTACCATAATTCCGACAAGAAGCATGGCCATGGCGACGCAGAACTTATCAAAATCTTTCATGTGAGCTCGGAGGAGTCGACTCATGAAACGAAGGATCACAAGTATAAGCATGATGGCGAACAGAAACACAAGGAGCCAACAAAGGAGCACCATTCCTTTCCAAAGTCCCACCATAAGAATGTTGAGTCTAAGAACCATGATGGTCACGACAAGGGTCACTTTGGAAGTGAGAAGAAGTATCCCCAGTCAAGCAAAGGCCGCAACCAGACTCAAGGGCACCGCCACACGCCTGTTGTACAAGTTACCAAGAAGATTCTCGAGCTGATCGGCCCGCTCTTAAAAAAGGAAAATGGCAGTCATGGCTCTTCCAAAAAGCCATCCCATCAGTACAAGTCTTATCCTTCTCACGTTTACTCTGATAAGGGCAGACCTAGCCCTCACGACAATCGCTACCCCGACAACCAGAACACTCACGATGGCGATAAGCCCAAGAATGGACACGAGAAGTCTGATCAAGCAGAGAAGGAGAAGAATGATGCACTGCGAAGAATCATCGAATCCCTCGCCGACCTTCTTGCCAAGAAGGAGGCCCCTAAACACCACCTCAAGAAGACTCACCCATCCGAAGACGATCATGACTCGCACCATGAGTCCGAGAAAAAGCACCATTCTCATAAGAGGCCTTCATATCCATACAAAGAGCATGCCGAGTACAAGCATGATGACAACAAGAAGCATGCCAAGTTGAGCCAAGACAGTTCCTCTCACTATGAGCCTGGCTATAACCATGAGGAGGTGGACTCACATCACGCCAAAAAGCAGAACGCCTATTATCATGACCATGAGGACTCGAAGAAGGGTCAATACTCACATAATAAGCCCATTTCCCAGTACGAGAAGAAAATCAACGATAAAGATGACGATGAGAAGAATTATATCAAAGTGATCAAGGATCGCGTCTCGCAGCACAAGCCAACTCTTCATAATGAGAAGCCGGATCATCATCACCATCATCATCATCATCATCATCATCATCATGACAAGGATAATGAGCATGCTAAGAGACCCAAGCCTCATCATAACCATCAAGAGGCTGAGCACCATGGGGACTCTAAGAAATCAGAGGACTACTACCCTTACAACAAACCGAAACACCAATTCGAGGAGCAATCTAAGCACAATCACGACGATGATAACGAGCGTGGTCCATTTTATCAAAGAGTGAAGATGGATCGCAAGCCCATCAATTACTTCCCAAAGTCCGGACATCATAAGGACCACGAAGATGAAACGAAGGCATACAAAGATCACCAGTCTCGTCTTGAAACTCACATCAAAAGATCTAGTAACCTTGTACCCAAGCTCAACACCACTCAAATCCTCAACCTGGAAGCCCTTTCGCCACAGGACCGAAAGAGAATCGCAATGGGCCTGCCTCTAGATTCTCAGACCAGAAAGGAGTTCGGCGAGTTTCAGGATTGCACCCCCAAGCTGATTACCAAGCTCAATGTCATGTATGCTCGCATCGTCGACGACCCCAAATACGCACCTTTCATCAAGTACCTCAACACAGAACGCAAGTTTCACAACAGAAAGAGATCTGCTTCTGTGCTCACCCCAGAGATGCTCGCAAAGATCGAGGCTATGCCTCCTATGATGCGTACCTTAGCTGCCGACCAACTTGATTTTGGCCCGGAACTCAAGAAAGAGTTTATAAAAGAGGGAAAGCTATCTCCTGGTCTTATCAGGAAGCTTGAGAAGGAGTACGAACGTATTGCGAAGAACCCCAAATATAAGAAGATCCTTGAGAAGCTCAAGTCTAATGGGAAGCGAGCAGCCCCAAACCCACCACCGCCCAAGATCCCCAATGAGATGCTGAAGAAGATCGAAGCCATGGATCCAATCCTACGCCGCTTCTTGGCAGAGAAACTCGATCTTCCCGCGAAACTCACAGATGAGTTTGTAGATTGTGGAAAGCTCGACCAAGCGATGATTCACAAAATCAACTGGGAGTATGCCCGTATTCACAAGGATCCTAAATATAAGAAGATCCTTCAAGAGTTCAACACCAAGTCCAAGCGATCTAAGGGTCAGGACGAGAATACCAAGGACGAACTCATAACCCTGACAGACGACGAGAAGGAGAAGGTGGCCAAGCCCAAGGAGAAGGTCGAGGCCGATGAGCCGCAAAGGCTCACTGAACAGCAGCTAGCGGTGTTAGCGAATATGCCTAAATTGCATCGCCGTGAAGTAGCCAAGAAGATTGGAATGCCTGAAGACCTGGCAAAATGGTTCGTCAAGACCAAAAAGTTTACAGGTGAAAATCTGGAGCGACTGAACGAGGAGTGGATCCGAGTTCAATTAGACCCTAAATATGAAGATGTTGTCAAGTCGCTGAAGCATCTGGCAGTCAAGGGAAATAACAAAGCGAGGAAAGACAAGATACGGAAGCGATCTGTACACCAGCTTACCGAGAAGGAACTGGAACGTGTGCTTAAGTTGGACAAATACGAGCGCCAGGCCCTGGCGAGAAGGCTTGGGCTGGACCAGTCACTCGCCCGTGAGTTCATCAACGCATCTAAGCCGAACACTGATCTCCTCGAGAAACTCAACGAGGCTGTCTCCAAGAGTGTCGGTACTCCTCAATACCAAGAACTTCTCAAGCTTGTTGGTAAGGAATTCCCCAAGCCAAAGAATGAAGAACTGAAGCTAGAATCTATCAAGAAGGAAGTGCGCCTGGAATCGCCAAGAGCCTCGACTTCGACGAATTCACCAGGGATGAGTTTTTGGAGGCCAAGGAGCTGAAGGGCAGACTCTTGGACAAGGTCACGAAGTATTGGGGGGTCAAGAGGATGAAGAACGCAGAGCAAGGAAAGGATGATATCAAGCACTCTGAAGTTATAAACAAACTTCTCGGGTCAGCCCTGGACAAGGCGGGCCAATCAGGTGATGATCTCCGGAGTAAGGGCACTGATGGTAGGAAGCTTACCGAGGCTGAGCAGAAAATGAAGGACAAGCTCGAAAAGACAAAAGAGAACGGATGGTGCGATGAGTTCGTCAGCGAGCTTGAGGACGCCTGGGGCCCTAAGAAGGAGAAAGAAGGAAACTGAGAACGGTGTGAAGGGGTACTCAAGTCGGAGTTGTTCAGATTGACATACGAGAAGCAAAGGTACTCGATTAGTTTTGTTTGCGGGGATTTTTACTGGACCCAAGTCGGTATCTAGACACCCCTGCCTTAGATAATGAATACATACAAGTATATCTGTTTCGAGACCTGGTTCAGTTTCATTGATCTTGGTTTCTGGGAATAGCTTCAAATTGCGTGATACCTAGAAGCCATAAAAGTCCGGGCCAACGATGCCGCCGATTTCACGTGTCAATCAAGTCGATCACTTCAAGACACCGTCATTGCTTGGCACATTAGATTGGATCTAATTGGACGAGAATGAGCGACAGGACAGGGGAAGGAGCGAATCATTACGTACCTACCTACCTAGGTTCCAGTACCTAAGTGTGCGTGTACGTACCTTGCGTGTCAGCAATGCAATTCACCCACCTTACCTCACCTCACCTCACCTCACTCAGTGTCTGGAATGTCATGAAGTCGTCTACCTTAACTTAGCTTAGACACCCTCAACTTCACATTTTTCATATCGTCATCATTGATTGTTAGTATCAGAGTGATGCAAACGCAGTGGCCTTTGCAAAATGGGTCAGAATCTTTCGGATGAGCATCCGCAGCGGCGGTCGCATGAAGAGCTAACCCAACAACTTGTGAGCTCCTCCTGTCCATCCATCTATCATACGTTACCAGAACCAGTTCTGAAATACCGCTAACACGAGCTCATAGACGGAGAAGTTTATGAAGAAATGTTTCACCTCTCTTGAACTATACTCACTCAGAGATGTTTTCAAGAGCCTTGCGGATCAGCAGGACTCTGTCAAATACCTGAAAGAGGATACTATCGCCCGGTACCTGGAAATACCAGACATTCTCGGCACCTCTCCAGTTATTTTCCAAATGGTATCCTATATCGGTGCTTTTCCATTTCTTCAAGATGCACCTGTAGTCCTGGAGTTTCAGCGGATGATTATGGTGGTCGTCATCATGACTGAGCGCTACCGAACCGTATTGGCGCGGGGCTCTTCAGATAGGACCAAACTACTGTTCAAGAGCTTGGCTGTCTTTGATCGTAAAATATCAGAAGCAGGAGCCCATCCAGACACGCCACATATCGCACCTATCGAGTCCAAAGACGACAAAGAGAAGGCAACGCCCCGTATGGCTGGTTTTGCGGTTGATGCAGCTGGCGACGAAGATGAAGACGGTGAGGACGACGACCTCGTATTGACAGCCTTTGAATTGCTTGACATCAAGGATGCCGTGGACCAGGGCCATGCGCCAGTCTTTCATGGTGCAACGATCCCAACTGACAATTTCCGAAAACTTATCATGCTGCTTCTCCTTGCCGCCCCGCTTGATCCTCAGGAAAGCCTCTCGATGTATTCAAGCCGTGTTGTTGGACAAGAACTCGAGGGCCTCCGTGGCGCCGCTGAAAGCATTCTTGCCTCCTTCGTTAATGCCGAAACCTCAACTGGCATCAAGTACAACCACTTCAGAACCATCATCCCTGTGATTTGCCCTCATCTTTTTCGTGGATTCAATGGTCTCTTTGAGCGTTTCCTTTTCTCGCAAAATCTAGATTTCTCCAAACATCAAAATGATACCCCCGCTACTACTTCATCTCAAAAAGTAGCACAGCCTCTTTTGACCGACACGGGCGAGATACTTAATCAGAACACATTGTCCCAGATCTCATTTTTCCTCCCTGGAACAGATCTCTTTCGGCGAGTGAGGCTCCTATACTCGGGCAATGATGCCGGCTTCTCCATGGGAAGTTTCCAGACGAAGGTTTTCAACTGGCAAGCTCCAACATTGCTCTTGGTGAGCGGAACACGGCTGGGAGATGAGCCGGAGGGTGGTCAGGAAAGCAGTTTCGCGGCATCCTTGCCCCCGAAGCGGTTCCCTCATGGTAGCAAATCGGATCGGCTCACTTTTGGTGTCTACGTTCGTGAACCCTGGAAACACACCCACCGGGAATGCTTCGGCGATTCAGAGACAACTCTATTTCAACTCGAACCAATTCACGATGTCTTTCCGGCATCAACTATCAACAAGGACTATGTCACTTTCACAAAAGCACCAGCGCACCATCCCATGATGTCGTTCGGTTGCCCTCATCCACACCCATCTCAAGCTCACAGAAAGGCCGACATGTTACGTTTAGGCCCTGTATCATTATTACTTGACGACTCGTTCGAGTTTGCAGTCTTCAACCACGATTTTACATCTCGAGGAGGTGCATTTCACTCGAGTGTGGTGAGAAAATATGATTTCCAGGACCGATTCCAGATCGAGAGTCTCGAAGTTTGGGGCTGTGGTGGTGATAAAGAAGCACAAGCCCAAGCCGAGAAATGGGCCTGGGAGGAGCGGGAGGCTGAAGCTCGCCGCAAGATCAATCTCGGAAATGGCGATATCGAGGCTGACCGGGCATTGCTTGAGATGGCGGGGTTAATTGGAGGAAACCGAAGTGGAGGATCTATGACATGAAGCAACTCCTAAGAATTTGAGCATTACTAGGCAATGCATATTCTTAAAGCCTGGATAGCGCATTGCTTTAACAACTGCCTATCTTGAAACTTCACAGTCTTCAAGCTCAACAACCATAAAGAATCCTTAACATTTGCCTTAGTAGTTTGGGAGTAGAGCCATGCTGTACTCGAAGGTACCGCCCGTTGTCTATCGTACACAATATCTTTCTGCCACAAATTAGCATGCGAAACTTTTATACAAACCTCCATCATGACAAATTGCTCCTAATGTACATTCTTTGTTCTCAGTCCTTCCTCTTTGAGATAATTTCGCCAAGATCGCCCAGAGAACTCTTGGGATTCTTCTTCTTCTTTGCGCTGTTCTCGTCCTCGACAGCTTCTACGGCGGCTTTGTCATCATCCTTCCTCTCTTCCTTACTGCCCTGTGGCCACAAGCCAATGCGGCTCAGAATACCTCCATTACTGGAAGCCTCGGTGCCTTCGGGTTGCGATTCTGTAGTTACGTTGGCCTCCCCAGCCCGCTGGGCTTGGACCTGTTGTCTCTTCTTCTCGAGTCTCGCACGCATGGCCTTTTCCTCCTCGTCTCGGGCTTCAAGCTCACGAATCCACTTTTGTCGCTTTTCTTCAGCATCCTTCTGCTCCTGGAGCTGGCGGAGCTCCTTGCTCTTCTCGCGGTCTTTCTGGTAATACATGCTGCCGGCAAGCATGGCGAAAACGGTGAAACCCTGTGCTGCAACTCGGGCTCGGAACATGCGGTTCGCCTGTTTTGAATCGCCACGACGGAGGGCTCGGTAGGCATTGATAAAGGCGAGAGTGGTCAGACCCATTCCTATAGCTATTAGAAGCTGTCCCGCGCGGCAAATAGTTCCGAGATGTTTTCTGTACCGAGGGGAATCAATGGCTCCTCCTTGATCTTGCGGAGGACCTTTTGCATTGGTCTTTCATTCTGAAGTTCCCTGGACTATCGCATGAGCGGGGAGTGCACGGTATAGCAAGCTGGAATTGAAGCATACTGGTCGCCGTCAAAGGACGAGGGCATAGGGCCCGGGAGGGAGGGGGGAGCATCAGCCATTGTGTTTTTTAAGCCTAATTGCTGGTACAGAATGGAGGTGAAGTTGAATTCGTGAGGAAGTGGGCTGAGGATTTACGATCGCATTAGATGGATCTGTACAAGCATCATCACTTTTCACAAGTAACCAAGGTACGTACCTTGTCCAACGCCCCCCCGGCCGAGTCCGGGCAAGCAGCATCCATCCAATCGATCGGCCTATCCGTGTTCGGCCTAGCTGCTGCTCCACTGAAACTTCACAGCTCTGATCGCATTAATGAGCTTATTGGGATGCAATGTATCCGTAGCTTTGTCATCATCGAAAACAGACAACAGATTTGTTATTCATTCTGATATTGCCTTGCAAACCTACTCTACCTCGCTACCGAACAGAAACGACGACAGACGCGAATCCGATCCGATCTAACCCTTGACGATCACCGTCGACCGACTCTACATACAGCCTTCAACTTCCCCTGACACGCCTAGATTCAGCATCATGCAATATCCATGATATAGCCCACGATGTGGTTGCCGACGCCTTCCGTCGAGAGTATTACCCGGCCGCGACTGGCTGTGGCCGTAGTTTCTGCTGTGGCCGCACTCTCGGCCGGATACTATGCATATCAGGTCCGGTCGCAAAGTTTCGAGTCTCTGCCCGGTGGTGGCCTACACAGGAGCAACGCAGTACGACGTCAACGCCGCAATCGGAGAAACGAGGATGGCTCGAGTTCCTCATCCGAGGCTCCGGGTGACGAAAACGCCAATATTGATCCAGTTCAGCCCCTCGGCGATGGAGAGACCATAGTTGATGGCGGGGACGAGTGGTGGAACGACCCCAGCGGTTTTCCTTCTAATCAACGAACTGGCCACAACATCGTCACCCTTCTCTTTCGCGTTTCAGAGGACAATGCTCGCAGAAATGGATGCGTTCACAGAGGCTGCCAATGTAATTCATGTGGCATGGTTCCCATTCGCGGGGTCCGTTACCGCTGCGCAAACTGTGCCGACTTTGATCTTTGCGAAACTTGCGAAGCCCAGGGAGTTCACATCAAGACTCATATCTTTTACAAAATCCGAATCCCAGCACCGCCGTTCGGTCCGCGACAAATGCAGCAAGTTTGGTATACCGGGGACCCAGACACTTGCAGACGGGCTCTGCCCCGCAGTTTGATACCCAAGCTGTCACAAGATACAGGATTCGAACGCCCAGAGTTGGAGGCTTTCTGGGAACAGTGGACTTTTATGGCCAACTCGGAATGGAGAGATGATCCCGATGAGTTGTGTGTCGCAATGGATCGCAAGACATTCGAGCGGTGCCTTGTTCCTACAGGAGGCTCCCGTCATGCAGCACCAAATCTTATCCACGATCGCATGTTCTCCTTTTACGACTCTAACAACGATGACTTGATTGGCTTCACGGAATTTCTCCATGGATTATCATACAGAAAGCGAAAGGATAAACTGCGAAAGATATTCTCTGGCTACGATCTGGATGGCGATGGATATGTTGATCGCAAAGACTTTTTGCGCATGTTCCGTGCGTATTATGTTCTATACAAGCAGATGCACAAAGATATTTTAGACGGCCTTCAGGATCAGCTACTCGCCAGCAGCGAAGCTCAGCAGCTCGTTACCAGCCGTCAACCACTGAGCAGTTTATTTGGACGTGAGGGTCGAGTTCCTCCGGGTGAAGGACAGTTTCGGCACGAGGGCAAGACATATCAACGAGACGGTAGTGTGGATATTTCCGATGGGCACGAGCACGTTGTTGCGCCAGATCGCGGCGACACAGCAGCTCGTGGCGACATTCTAACAAACCTGTTTGCTTGTGAAACCGACCATCGATTCCGGTCCAGGAGGCAGTTCATAACTAGAAACGACACAGATAGCAACTGGAGAACAGTCCGCCGTTTGAGTGGCAGTGAGACCGATCGTACTTATTGGGTTACGCTATTGGAACCAGCATCCACCTTGGAGGAGCTTCCAGGCCTCATAATGGAGACTCTGAATCCTGAGATTGAGGAGCCTACAGATGATGAGGATGAGGGCGTTGATGGTGACAGACCTGCAGATGGCATGAACGGAACCCATGAAGAAGACGATACAGGAGGTCCGTCACGAACGGAAAGTGAGATCAGAGCCGAGACCATTGCCAAGGATCGCAGCAGGGCTCCTAGACTGGACAAGCGCAAAAGAGACATGGCGCGCCATCAACTACATGAGCGATGGAAGAGGCGGCAGTTCTACCTCGATGAGGAAGAAGGGGGTCTTGCCCCTGATGACTGGGCAGGCAGTGAAGATATTCTGGTGGATCTTCGCCAGATGGATGAAGCCTCTAGTGACGACGAAGAAAACGACTCGACAACGACACCGACTAGTTCAAAGGTGAGATTCGCCAACGGAAATCTCACCGATGACGAGGATCATGATAAAACGACTTCTCCTAGCAGTGCTTCTGAGCACGTGCCGCGATGGAGAATACCGCACGCTGAGCGAGATGCTGGCAAGGAGATTCTTTACCAGGTCACTCAGCAAGCATTTAATGAGTTGCTTGATACCATTTTTAAGCCAGCCGAGGACCTTGCTGTGCAAGCAGCTGAAACCAAAGAACAACGGGCAAAGTACAAAGACGTACTAGACACCATCGAGCTTGGCGATGATGATAAGTCCAAACCTACGAGTCGGGGTGATTCCAAGGTTAGATCCGCCACTGACAAGACTCTTGAGGAGCTCTTGTCCGAAACTGGATATACTATTGCTTTGCCAGAAGGACGAAATGCCGTCGAAATTGATACTACGGTTGAAATCATCCACGAGGATGGAACGGAAGAGCCCGTTTCAGGGTCAGAAACTGAGACAACCATGCCAGTTTCCGAAGACGAAGAACAAGATCCCACTCTTCCACAATTCCGGCCCAACACACTCGAAGATGTCCCTACCTCTCCGGCTTACGTATTCTACCCCATTACGCAGCCTTTACCAGACACGTCCGAGGACGACGTACCCAGAGAAGAGGATGACATCGATAGCCCTCCCACATCAGACATGCTGCGACACTGGAAACGCCTAAGTCTTGCTGAGGCCCAGGCGATCAAAAGAGGAGGGTGGGGTAAGCTAAGCTTTGACGAGTTTGAGGCCATCTACAAGAGTCAGGAGCACCAAGGCAACAGACTCGATTATCTCGGAAGCTGGATAGACTTTTGTATTCCCTAGGCACAGCATCGATCCCGCTTTCAAACTCCTCCTGACAGGGCTCCATAGTGAATGCATGCTTGCGTCGGTGTTTTATCCTTTTACATTCGTGTATTTCGGGGAGTTTCTGCATCGCGACTGAAAGCTTTCATGTAAAATAACGAAAGGAATGGAATTGGCGCATATCTTGCATACGACAGCGTGCATATGATAGCAGGTATGCATGATATTTGCTACCACTATGCCTGATGTTGCATGACTGCTCGTTTCCAGCAGATACAACATAGCTTACAACATTACACAGCGAAATGACACACAACAGATAAAATATGATTATTAGCAATCGAGTTCGTATTAAATCAACGCTGAACTACTACTCGTATATGTTTGCTCAAGTCGAGCCCCCTATTCCACGCCCCATGACCAGCATGCACCCATCGATCGATCATCTCTCACAGCCTCTTCTCAAACCTGCTGCTGAGTAGAATCAACACCGTCGAAGCCAAGTAGGGCGTTCCATGTGTCAGCGGTGCTTTGATCCCGTGTTCCCAAAGCCTCAATCTGAGCCTGAGCATCCTCACAAGCAGCCACAGCATCAGCACTAGCGTCACACACGTTGGTGAGCTGGTCACAGATACGGTTGGTAATGATGTTGGGGTTTAGAGCCTCCTGCTGGCCTTCAGCAATGAGAGGATCCTGGGGAATGAAGGTGAATTCGTCAGCTGGGCGACCGTTGAGGCCACCAACGCGAGCCATGGTAGGCTGGCAGACCCCGAAGTCGAGAGCGCCAGCGTTGCCGCCAGCATTGCCTCCAGCGTTTCCACCGTCACCAGCACCATTTCCAGCATTGTTGTCATCTGCAGCATCATCCTGACCATCCTGGGCATTATCGTTGTTGCCATTGTTTCCACCCTGGTTGTTCTGGTTTCCATTTCCGTTGTTGTTGGCATTGCCATTGTTGTTGTTGTTACCATTGTTTCCATTATTGTTGTTGTTGCCGTTGTTGCTGTCATCCTCTTCACAATCCTCATCGTCATTTGCGTTGTTTCCATCCTGGGCGTTATCGGAGCCATTGTTGCCCTGCTGGCCATCAGCGGGAGCAGTGCCATTGTTGGCAGCTCCTCCATTACCAGCTCCAGCATCCGCACCAGTACCATCATCCTGGCCATCGTCTTGACCGGCACCGCCAGCGGCAGCGCCGTCTTGGCCATCAAGCTCGACTTGGTCGCCGTTAGCACCAACGGCTGTGAAAGTACTGAATCCCTGAGCAATCATCACCTCAGCCTGTGATAGGCCAGCAGCATCGAAAGGAGTTGTAACCGAGGTTGCCGAGTTGGCATTCTCAGTGGCTGCACCGTCAACAGCAGGGTCAACGAGAGGGACAATGCCGCGAAGCGCAGCTGTAGCTGGTAGGCTGGGGTCAGCGCAGACGAAAGGTCTGTCAACAGCTGAAGGGTTGAAATTGGTCTCAGCTGCAACAAGGCCAATGGCTGCATCGAGAACTTGCTGGTCAGTTCCCAACTCGGTGATCATCTGATCGGCGATAGTAAGCTGGAGGATGTTAGTTGATGTGATTTCAAGATATCTCAGTACACCATACCTTGTCACAAGGACTAGCAGCTGCGAGCAAAGCGCCAGGGATGCTGCCAGCGATAGTAGCAGCGACACCAGGGTCACCGAATCCAGCATCACCAAGTGCCTGGACAGCAGCAACAGGCTCCTGCTCTTGACCGAATCGGGCCTCGGCGTAGGCCAGCAGAGCTGCAAGAATGATAGACTTTGAGAAAGCCATGACGAATTTTGTATAGATTAAGTGATAGTGACAAGTTGGAAGGTTGACAAAGAGTATCAAAGCAACCAACCAGCGGTGCAAAAAGAAGGTATTGAACTCGAAGGAGTGGTCGAAGCGAATGCGTTCACAGAACAGCAGAAAGAAGCAAAGGAGAAGGGAAGGAGAAGAGGCTTGTGTGAGTGATGATGATGATCAAAGGGAAACTCTAACTCTGGATGACAGATCGTCTCACTTATATAGATGTTTCTCTCAACATTATCGAGTAGTTAAATTTGAATAAGCTTGAATCAATGCAACTTGACAACCAGACTGAACCCCGTTACGGCGATCATACATGACCTGCTACGATATTGTTTGACGAACCCATATCAGTAGGCGCCGTTTCCATCTTGAGGTTCTCCCGGGGTTGACTAGACGCCTGGGTTGGGGTTGGCGTCTCGCTGTTTAGTGTTGCTGGTGAAGAATAGAGTCTAGACTATAGGTTCTTAACTGAACAGCCTATAGTTTCCAAGCGTCTTGGCCATGGCCAAGTGACAGGCATGTGTCGCGAAAAGTCTCCTCCGTGGTTCCGAGGCATCGCAGGTCTCGGATACGGAAATCCCGAGTCCTTTGTCGCACCAGATAGTATCTCAAGTAGTAAATAGCTGAATGGGCGGCTGCCATCAAAAGAGGTTCAAGACTGAGATAGAGCCTCAAAAAGTGATCCGTTGGTAATTGGTAGAATCGTTGAATTGTGTTGGTATTGATAGCCTCTTAATGCACCAAAGGTATCGCGCAAGGACTGGAGAATACCGCAACTCAGTTGTCTGGTCAAGCTGTCAAGCTAACATTTTTTCAGTCATCCAACACAATTCCAGTTGGAAATTGCCTAGTCGATACCATCGTCATGCACAGACTGCGACCGGCACAGATGGTTGCCGTGATTTTGGGGTTTCGGTTGAGGCTCGCTTGGGCATCCTTGTAAATAGTTCAGCCAAATGTGTTGTAGATGTGAAACGCTACCGAAACCACCCACGCCGTCCAATTTTGGTCAACAGAAACAACACGTTCAAGACCCCCAGAAATGTCCGTGCAAAGCGCCGCCAGTCTGTGACGATGTTTGTGTTTATCATCAGCTTTAGCCATTGCTTTTGAAGCGTAGTTGCTCCATGTATCATAGAGAACTGGCAACGCGAGCCCAACGAGTCCACGTTGAAGGACCAGCAGGATATGAAATCATTACTCAAGCGTCGTTTTGTTCTCTTCTGGCCATACCAAGAATTCCTCGATAGACCATGGACTGCCACTGCCACTGCCACTGAGAGTTGTTGATGGTGTTTCTGTAGTTGCATACCCTGAGCCAACCACAGATTCATCCCAAGAAGCAAAGTCAAAGTCTTCTTGGACAAGGGTTTCGAAGTCCAGTTTGTCAATCCAATTTGTTTCTCCATTTTCCAGCAAGCTCGGGACGCCTTGACCTTGTCTTTGTTTTCTCAGATACTCTGCTGGTGTCACACCAACACATTTCTTAAACACTCGATGAAAGTGCCACTTGGACAACCCAGTCTGCCTCGCCATCTGGCTGAGGCTGAGTCTAACTTCCACGTCGCCTTGTTTCTCTGTTTGTTGTTGCACAAACGCCCGGATCTTTCGTACGGCTGTTTCCTCTGGCATGAACCCTGCTACTTCGGGCTTACAGCGTTTGCAAGGGCGGAAGCCAGCTTTCTGGGCATCGTAGCCATTGGCGAAGAATGAGACGTTTGCTCGGCGGGGAAGACGGGCTTTACATATTGGTCGACAGAATATCTTGGTAGTGCGAACTGCATAGACAAAGAAACCATCCGCATGGGTATTGCGGGAGGTGACTGCATCCCATCGAGATATTTCGTCTTCAAACAGCGTTACAAGGCTCAAGGCCTGACTAAAATTAAGAGTTGGTGGATCCATTGAGAAGTTTGCCAAATGTGTAGAAAAGTTGATGAACAAGTTTGAAGTTGAATCATTGATGGTGACCTAGAGTGGCAGAAGAAGTAATGGCGGGATGGTGATTAGTGGGGCATTAGGTAGGTTGCTATCAATATGACCAATGAAATAATGGAAAGCATTGGATGTCAGATAGATGTAATTGAAGCTTCGAATAGGGTAGTCGCAGAGATGACTGGTATCGTTCTATCCGCTCTTGACACTTTGTTAAACAGCAATGTTGAAGTTGCTGAATCAGATCAACTGATGCAGATATATTTATTTGACCATTTGGTTGTACCACTCTTACTTTTACTACATGTAAAAATAGTATAAAGATAAAACTTCTAATCCTAGAAGAAACACAAGATACTGATGACAGAACTTATGATAGCTTTTGTGTACACCAAATCCTTGGCCTAAGTCAAATACAAGCACCTCGGATCGAAAATTTTACTTCGGCCATTAACCCTGAGATGATGAATGCAAGTTGATGTCTCTGTCTTGCGCATGGAGCAAAAAGGTCAGGGTTGAGCTTGGCCTTCAAAGAACGACATGACAGCTTGTCTCGAGTTGAAAAAGCATTAATTATAAAGTCAGTCTGTATTCAGTATAGCGATGGTGGTTTTACAGAAACAAAATAATATAATTATGTATTAATTAGACAGCAATGCCTCAGTAGATATGGCGGCAAATGCAGTAGATGCTCGACTTTGATCAAAGGTGAAGAGACTTGTCTTCACAAACGGTGTATCAGCTCGATATAATGATCAAGACACTAGTTCACGAAACAGCTTGTCGCTTATTCTCGATTCGATCTCGCCCATCTGCAACTCGAGCTCTGCACACAAAACCTCATTTCCCAATGGTATCAAGAACTATGTGATCCTAGGCAGCAGTGAAGATTGGCAAGGGAAAGTAATGTGAAAGCGAGGGAGCAAGAAGCACGAACGGGCCTAAAAAACAAATATACTATTTCAGAGAGCATCGGCCGCCTCTGGCCCGATAGACGAGACGTAACGCTGCTGATGTCTACACTGAGATTGACGAGTTGAAGGAAGCAGTTACTGACAAGGTACAGACAATGTCAAGAATCACAAGTTACAAGAAGACGTGGAGAAGGTGGCTGATCAATACAATACATTTGATCCTTCAACTAGAATGCCTCGTTCATGGACTCTCGAGGTAAGTCAATGATGGTCTCTGGACAACCTCACTCACCTTTGCTGTTTACAAAATGCCGCTGACTTACCCACGAAACAGAAAGAAACGCAGAATATGGTGGAGATATCATTTATCCAAAAAGAATATCTTGCAGGCTGCCGAGATTTCGGTGGATAAAGATCGAGTTTACGAGTTTTCAAGCTCGTATGACAGTAAGTTATTAGAGCTTTTGCAACTGCTCTGGGGCGGCTAGATCCCCTACGAGATCACCACCAACGACCACTGGTGTATTTGTTGTTTGTAAACATGGATATGTCACTTGATCATCGGGTCGTCCTGAGGATCGTCAATGATCTGAGGATCGTCAATGATCTGAGTATCTCGAGGATCAGCCAGAGATGTGAAAGTTCTAGTTGGATGAGGGACTCGACCTCGATTATGTGATATTCTCAGACCATCCTCATGCCTTGTAAGTCCATATTTAGTAAACCAGCATTGACATTTAGCTACTTCCGGACGACGAGTGCAATCCATGTCTGTAAGAGAGAGGGCTCTATTATGCCAACACCCACAAACCGCTGATAACAGCCGGGCTAATCCAACACACAGCGACAACGACAGAATAGTGAGCTTCCTTGGCGAGTCAAAGGGTTCGCGAGTCGATTAGTGCATTGCAGAGGCCAACTCTGTGGTTTATATGCTTTCTTGCTTCCAAGATACTTTTGATCTGATCTGGAATGGGGGCCTTTAATTGCGATTATGTTATAGCTTATCTCTATTAGAGGAAGCAGGCTAACCCAGGGCAGTTTTCATACTCTCCATGACTGCCAAAAGCTATAAAAGGAAAAGAAGACGAATGGCCATACTGCGTTGACAAACGCTGGCCACCTGCGAGTTTAAAAGACGATAGACTTATACTAACTCAAGAACCACACGCTGCTGTCTTTCGGATGTCGAACTCTCAGCAGATGAAGGTGATGAAGAAGGGGCTTTACTGTGATTACCGGCAAATGGCTTATCTTCCTTCTCTGAGCCAGCTCAACTCTTACCTACCTAGTATAGACAGCTCACGACTCCATAACTTAGAAGGAGATATTGAACATCCGGGCTCTCCAACCAAGACCCCGAAATTAGGAAAAGATTGCCTGACTGCCATAGACTATGAGAAGTTTGGATTATTCTGTGCCTTAAGGGAAGCTTCTACCTCATTCTTAGAACGGCCATCTGAGATGAAGGGATGAATGCTTGTGATATAGCTGCAATGGCATGCAAAGCTAAAAACTATAAATTCAGCACATGGCAATCATTAGTGTAGTTTTGCATGACCAACTGGGAGTTTGCTCAAAAGTGGTCAGCGGATAGATTGCGGAGTGAACAACTCCGATGCCGAATCTCATATCGACTTTTATAGAAACATGTCATGGCTAACAAGCGATCTGTAGCTTAATTTGGGAGGCTAGATATGCGCATGTGGGGTACAACTCCACAAGAGTGCAGCTTTATGTCCGAGTCGTTTGAGTTGTAGTCGGCAGGTGAAACAGAGATCAGATCACGGGGGTTCACTGTCATAGAGCAGTTATTAGACGCAATCACTGGGTTGTGAGAATTGGCTACATATGGCGTATATCAGCTATATCTCAGCCACGGGTAGACAAGGCTGGAAGAATCTTGGTGATTGCGATAATAGTGCTTCAGGCAGCAAGAAAACCTTCGACTAGTATATGAGGTATCAAAAAAAAAAAAAAAAAACGAGGTTAAGTACCTATCAAGTTATACTAAAATTACCTGTTTCTGTCTTGTAGCTTAAGATATAAATTCGAAGTTTTCTTGACTCCCCCAAGGAGGGGTATGCAAGATAGCTTGAAACAGTGCCCATTGATCCGTCTCGTGTTAAAAAGACGGTGGAGGAGACTTCGACTGTGGATCGAGATGTTGATGCTCCAAGTAACGCGGGCTGCATGTGCATACAGTACTAACCTATGTGAAAGGCTTCGTCGAGGTTCCAAGGAGCTCTCTTGTTCGTCACTAGCGAGAGAGTGGTGTATCATGCAGCTCGCTACAAGTTACTGACTCAACTGGCAATCTGTGAATACAAGTGAGTGACAAGGGCAGAGTTTAAAGAGTCAAATCATCCAGCTCAATTGCAGCCCGTGCTTCCGTACCGAGGTTGCATGAAGTCCACCACATTAATTGACCAATCGATTCCGAGGAAATCATCATCAGCTTAGAAAATGCTGGTTCTGAAGCAGCCAACGGCAGAACAGGCTCCATAGCGGGGGATAAGTCAATCAATGAGCGACCTGACAAGGGCCTTTGGGTTCCATCCATTCCTCCCAAGGGGCCTAAGTTAACAGCTTGCTTGACTTGCAGAAGCGTACATGGTGCGCATCTATCTATAAAACCACACGAGAAGGACATCTTGGACGCATAAAATTCGAGTGGCCGTGCCTGTTTGATTTTCTGACTTTTCGCTTCCCACCAAACTTAACCAATGCGAAAAACTAGGGTTTTACGGGAGCGAGCCGCCGCTGTCCCGCATGTGGATGTAACTGGCACTGGAATAGGGGTAAACTCGGGTATTGAACCAAGAGAGATCCTCGCCTCAGATTAGGTAGGGTGCTAGCTATGTACTAGTCAAGCTAAAAGCTTAAGAAACCTTGGCTGTCAATAAGAAGAACAAGATAAGTCAAGAGAGGGGCAAGTCTGAATAAATTATACCTTAAGGGGACGCGAGAATGGTACCTTCTCATTGGTTTATTCTCCGTCTCAACGAAATGGAAAGCTTTGAGTAACGGTGGCTGGCTGGACCCCTGGAGCTAGGGGCCATCTAGAATCTCGAAATTTCCTTGGAATGAGGCCTGGACAGGACAGACAGTGGTAACCTGGGCACTAACCTAAGTTACGTGGTATATGATTAATACAATTTGTTTGTTTCTGCTGGTGGAGGGTGACATCCATCCACCTTATTCTTATTCGGAACGGAATTGCTTGAATGGATATCGATGCTCTGGCTGATGCAGGGATGAGGAGAGGAACAAACGCCGGCTGCAGTGAATGATGTGCTGAAATATTGATGATCAAAAGGAGAACCAAGATGATCGATTCATGGAGGATCTGTTCTCTTGTCGCTGCGAGGCAATAATACGACACTTCCCATAACTCTACTGAACTCTCGTCTATCTAACTGAGGCAATTGAGACTCTATTTAGTCCTATGCTCCCCTATAATATATTTTATGTTTTATATTTGCATTTAATAGTTTTTGAACAGCAACACGTCCTCTATCAAACAATCTCAGATCAGATCCAGTGCCAATGCAGTCCAGCTGCATCTCTTGCTCACCGCTTTCATGAGGTGGGGCACTGAGGTTCTCCCTCCTCTCAACAGCTCTGCAGCTGGTGGAGAGAAAGGTAGGTACGTACAGTGAAGGTGGACACCCTGGCACTGACACTGGAGCTGGAACTGGCCTGCCTACCTACTCTACCTACTCCCTGTAAATACCTACCCCCGCTACCATGGATGGTAGTGCAGTGCGCTACCTACTACCTAGACTACCCCCTACGAGCCTCTCCTCTCCTCTTAGCCCGGGCAGTTCTCAAGTTAATTCTCGGGGGGTTCAAAATTCATCGGGATCCCATTCTCTGAAGTTCCTTTGGCTGCCCGAACCTGGAACTTTTCTTTTCCTCCTCCCTTTCTCCTCTCCTCCAACTCCTACTCATTCTCCTCCTCCATATTCGTTACCTTGAGGCATTGCATTGTATTGCATTCGCTGTTCATTGCATTCAGTTTTGCTTGTTGAGAACGAAGGCCTTTGGTAAACTCCAACGGCTTTTACTCGACATCTGATTAGCTGCGCGCGACCTCGAAAAGCGACAAGCGACAGGGGAATCTTTGCTTAACTTTTTTTCCTTTGATTTGATTTGATTTGGATCTCGATTGAACCTTGCATCGCTATATCGTTCAACCGAAAGTTTCCTCTCCACGTTACGAGAAAGAATTCAGAGCTCAGGTACATTATCTGATCTGATTTGGTCTCTACCAACACAACTCAACTCAACTCAACTCAATTCGTTGATTGAAGAGTCTCTTGCTCTCCCCCAAATTTCCATCTTTTTGTGGCCTCCGACTCCGACCCGCGGACCCCTCCCTCCCTCCTTCCACCCACAGCAGCAGCAGCCAGCCACAGCTCAACGCCTCCCTACCACGGACCTGGTCTAAAGATAAGACAAAGGACACAGCATCCTCTTACACGAGACGAAGCGAAAACTGCACGAGAATACATCTTTTGTGCCGCGGGCGCTCAACAATGAGCGACCACCCAGTCATGCAGGTCGAGGACAAGATCGTTCCCGGACCTTCTGTCGCCAGCAACGAGACAGCTGTCGAGGAGACAGTGATTAGACAAGATGTGACTGTCATTACAACAACAGACGAGGCTACAGGCCCCAATGCAGCCTTGAGCAGCACCACCAATCCCACTTCACCAACCACTGCTGCCCCGCGACCACGACTCAAGAAGGACAACAGCACGCCCAACATGAACGGGCCACTCTACATGCAGACTGCCGGGAACAAGACAGTGCTCGTCCGCCGACTTAAGCGCAAGGAGGAGAGCACCTGGAAGCATCTCTCGCGCTGGTTTGTCGAGAACCAAATCGGTACGTTACTCTCCAGCCTCCTCTTTTTCCTGCCGCCGATCATGGATTGCGAGCGAACGGGCGACGTACATGTCGTTGTCGTGGGGGTGTCAACTGCCAAGGGTGTCGAGTCAAAATCCAGACTTGTCCCTGGTTAATGGCACTTTGGGAATAGGAGGGTGTCGCACCTCAGCAGCACCCCGCGTGGCACGGCATCCCTACAGTACCATCCCAGGCCTCTTAGGGTCCTTTCCTGCTACGCTACGCTACCTAAACGCCTCGCTCCCATGACTTGACAGGTTGATCGCTTGCTGGTGTGCGTCCGTGTGTGCACTGATTTGGCCATCTTATTTTGTTCTGCCGAACTCAAGCTGACAGCTGGTTTCCATTTTAGGCCTCTCTTTCAACCTCCTCGCGCTCATCTTCCTCGCCCAGACTTTTATCCCCAAAGCTCGAGAACACACCCACAAATTCTTCCACCTCAGCTACTACAGCTCTCAATCCGGCCAGTATCGCATCGGTTACGACGATGCCTATTTCATCACCTTCTGCGTTATTCTCTTCACCGGTCTTCGCGCCGCCACCATGGAATACGTTCTTGCACCCATTGGTCGACTCCAAGGCATCAGCAACCGCAAAAACCTGACCCGATTCAGCGAGCAAGCTTGGCTTATGGTGTACTATACTGTTTTCTGGCCTTGGGGCGTGGTAAGTTTGATATTACTTAAAGACGTGAGAAGCATGTGCTGACGTCTTATAGTACATTTATTGTACTTCCCCTCATTACATGAGCATGGAGAATCTCTG